GCATTTATTTTTATCATTAATAGTCTGTCCCTAGAGGGAAATGATCTGCATCAAACTGCTCCATAGTTCTCCAGTCTTTCTAAATTTCATTCCAATATTTTACTGTTTAAAGTGTATTTGTTGTAGTTTATAAGGATACACTTTATAAAATTAATCACTTTTTCTCATTTACTATTTTTTAAACATAAATGAATTTTTATCAAATGTTTTTTCTGCATGTAAGACTATCATATGATTTTCAAATGTTAATATGAAAACTTACATTAGTTTTATTCTGGTGATCAACTGAGCCATAACTGATCACATATTAAAGCAATATTATCTATAAATGCAGGTCATTAATATATTAAAATTAGTAAGCTTCCGGATTCAGTATGCTAACATTTTGTTTATAATTATTGCATCTAAAGTGACATTGGCATACAATTTTTTTTCATACTGTTCTTGTGGAGTTTTAGTCATCAAGGTTATGATAGTCTCATGAATTGCAGAGTCTATACTCTATCATTTGCAAGAGTTTGTGAAAAGTGATTTTACTCTTAAATGTGTCATTCAGCTCACTGATGCAAGCCATATAGAACTGCAGTTTTTAGCAGAAAGGGTTTTAATTGCTAATTCAGTATAATAGGGCTGACTTTCCCCCTTTCTTGTATAGTTTGGGTAAGCTGTATTTTTCTAGAAATTTTTGTATTTCATTAAAATTTTCAAATTTTTGAAAAGATTAATTTTTTTCACCATCTGTATAATTTGTAGGGATGTCCCATATTTCATTGACATTATTTGCTTTCTCCTTTATTCTTAACTAGTATCATCAAGTTTATCAATATTAGTCTTTTCAAGCAAAAACTTATTTCTGTTGATCCTATATGCTTGTTTCCTATTCTATGCATTTTAAGCACTTATCTTTAATATTTCCTTGTCTATTTTCTTTACATTTATTGTGTTCTTCATCAAACTCCTTAAGATGGATGTTTTGTCTTTAATTTCCAGCCTTTCTATTTTCAAATATATACATTTATTTAAAATTATAATTAGTACTAACTTTAATAAAGTTAGTACTAATATACTAACTTAACCTTATCCAACCAGATCTACCTGTAATATTTTTATTTCAAAGTAAGATATACACACATACACACACACACACACACAGAAATGCTGTGCAGCTGTAAAAAATGATATATTTATGTGAAAATAGATCCATTTTATGATGGATAATAGAACTTTTATGTAAAGTTAAGAATAAAACAGTGCAGTTTAGCATGAATTATTCCTACTGTTTGTAAGAACAGGCAGGTGGAGGTGGTGGCTTCTTTTTAAATAGAGGACATTTTCAGTCTCATAACCACTTGTTTCTCATTCAACATTGTAAATAGGTAATTAGCAGTTAAAAAGTCAAGAAAATCAAAACTTTTTTCTATATATTCTGATTTACCTATAGCAACATAAGAAAAATAAGAAAAATGTTTAATGAGCATGAATGACTAAATGAAGGAATATGGAAAAGAAGAAGTATCAACAGAAAGGCTTATACAATTTCAACATGTTTTTTTATTTGCTCACTTAACATTCCAAACAAAATGACATTTTACACTATTGCTTTTACTTAAGAAGTCAACTGCCTTATCCAAAGTAGACAAAAATCCCAATTCCTTTAAGTGTCCAAGTGGTACTTTTCCCCCAGAGAAAGCTACTTGAATACTTTAACAGAAACACAGAATCATCCTATAATAGTAAGGTAGTAGTTGGGTCTTACCTGTACTACATTTAAAACTTTTCTCATCAAAAACTGAATACAGAAAAAAACCCCAAACACCTCCACTCATGATTCCTCTCAGATTTTTAACAATTCCACTAATCTTCATTAAAAATTGCTTTTGTAGAGAGGTGTATAAATATGAAAATGGAAAGTAAGCCTCCCCACACCTGTTCATGGAGAAGCAGGGTAGACCATTTATCCTGAGAAAACAGCTGCTGGTCCCCATTATTTCAAGAAAGATAATAAACATTATGGCCCTCCAAGTCAAACCTCCTATCTTCTGTGTCATGATCATGTGTAACCTTTTCTGTTCTAGCTGCAAGCATCTATTTTTCATATTCATGTGATGCTTCTCCTTTGAGCAAATCTTTGATGAACTTATATTTCGCTGAAGGTTCTCAAAGGGAGAAAGAGTGCATGAGCAATTATAATACTGGAACAAAAGTGAAGAGTACATATATTTTCACGTAGAAAAAATACATACAAATCCAAGTAGCTCCTAAAAATACGAATCAGATGGGAATTTTTAAGAAAAAGATTGTTTTCTAAACTGTAAATGATGCCAGTAAGACACTGATTTTTATATCTAGCTACATCACCATATTTATGTACAAAGAGAGGTTGGTATAGGTTCACTGATACCCCCTGATTTCTCCCATTTCTTTAAAGATTGTCTTTCAGACCCTATTAAAACCATGACTATTAATTTTTTAGACTACTTCCTGTCACTGACACACTCTCTTCAATCTGGCACATACAAAAATTCATTTCAACATTTATTTACTTTTTTGATGCTAAAACTAACATAATTTTTTGGCTATTTCAATGCCACAATATTCTATCACTACTTTGGCATTTTACTAATCATTATAGAAATAGGTAAGATTCTAAATATGGATTTTAAGACTACATAAAATTCCCACTACATATGTCAAAAGGGAAAGTAGGAAGGTAGACGCAATTATATTTCTGTTTTCATGTATATCACTATCAAGAGTCTGAAGGCCCATGTTGCATTCTAATTTACAACTGACATTGGTGACATTTTGCTTGGCTTCTAGACTCAAACCTAGAATTTAATAGTGGCTTTTAGATCAATTTGCTGTAAAACTATCTGAAATGGATGCAGATTATTTTAAGCAAAAATAGAATGATACTTATAACGTACATATGGAGGTGGATTTAAAGAACACATTATTGAGCAAACTTTATACCGACATTTTCTTAACATCATCATAGTTTTTCTTCCTAGAAGGGAAAAAACTTAATTACTTAAAATTTTCCCCTTCCATACTTAAAACATTCTGAAGTATACTGACAAAGGTTTAAATCAGTTCAAGTTCTCTGCTGTTGGAGGATCAAAATACAAAGATAAGCATTTTCAGCACAAACATCAAAAGATGAACAGAATTGCTTTCCATGTAATAGTTAATACCTTAATGCAATGAACTTGTCAGGATTTTGCGATATATCATATAGCTGGACAATAAAGCATGAAAATATTTTTTAAAAATTAAGTGAAGACATTCCCAAAGTTGAGATGTCTCCTACAAGAAACCAATTTTTAAATTCCTGTAATACTGAAAAGCTAAATTGCCACTATTGTAATAAAAGGAACTAAAATTTTAAAATAATTTTATCTTATTGAGAAACTAATTTTAACGCATGCACTTTAAATGTATGTGCTATATAACACTGCGTCTTATTTTCCAATTGGATATGTCTTACCACTCTTCTCTTTAACAAGTTTGAAAGAGAAAGGTCAACAGACATGAGCAAATACTTAAAAAGTCTCAAGTTTTGCTCTATTATATACGAGCCAGTCCTTAAACACTTGACATACACCCACATTAAAAGGTGTGCTAAATATCATCATGTTTTAGATGAAATTATGTCTTCGAAAGGTTGGTTTCTGTAGGATTTAAGGAGAACTTAAACTTTCCTGCTTTAAACTTAGTTTTGCTATCAGTACAAATGTGTAAAACACACCAAGAAGAAATCATTCCCATAAGAATCTCATCACTATGTAATCCTTGACAGCACTTGCTGCCCTCCTGAGATTTTAGGAGAATAAAACTATATAAAATGCACAGTCATCATGTCGTCTTCAAGCTATTTTAGTATCCCACAAACCGTTAACATAAAGTTCATACATCGTTATCTAAGAACACCATGGAGTCAAAGAGAAGCAAGAGTTAACAGTAAGTCAAATAAACCAATGATGTTTAACTGAGATTTGTTTTAAACTTAAACTTTCTTAAGTTTCAAAGACAGTTTTATTTAAATAAAAACTGTCTTTTATAATCTTTTTGTCTTTTACATAATCAAGATTTTCTTGGCAAATACATCTCTTTTCATAAACATACATAGGTGGAGAAGTTTCATACACAAGTAAAGCAGTTTCATAAACATACATAGCTAGAGAAGAAAACATTAAGGTTCTTTTCTACAACTGATAAAAAGCAAATACTGAAGATGAGAAAATGCCTTTAAGCTTTCAAATAACACTGTGGCATTTTAAAGTGTGTTATTTAAAAACAAAAAAGCTAGTCACCAATACTGTCATTCTCTCATCAGTTATGCTCAATAATCACAGAAACCCAAAAGGAGGCCATAATTCTTTATTCTCTCTGCCGTATCTCTACTCCGTTTGCTACTAATGAAGCAACATTATGACATGTAATTAAGATGCAAACAAAAAAAATCATAAAGAAACACTCTTCCTGTTAATTACCCTAGAAATAAAAATCAGACAAAATTAAAAACAGCCATTTCCAAACTAAAAACCAAAAAAAAAAACCTTAAAGAGCTTTGAAAAAAGATACCAACTTGATCCCACAACACATAAAAATGAAAATTGATTTTACACATTTTAATCAACCAATTTAATACAAATACCTGATTTGTACTTTTACACCAACGGGCTAAGTCCCAAGTTCCAAACTGTAGCTCACATGACTCTACAGAGGGGATCTTTGGAAGGATAAGGTACCTTTGGAGAACAGTGTATAAACAACTGTAAACATACACTGATTGTCCACTAGCTTTCTTAAATAGAATTTCTGAAATATTTTTGTAGGAAATTATATATAAGAGTGTAATTGATCAGATAATTCCTATTACAACATATAAATTCTGTTGAATGTGCAAAATGTGGTAGAAATAGAAGATACAGTGGATGATTTACACTTTTAAAGTAAGTGCTACATTACAATCCAGTAAAAGTCCTTTAATCTTTTCATGAAACTTCTCTCTATACAAGTTGAAATACATAATGCTTTCTGGTTCTTCTTCAAACCAAAACTTGTCAAATTCATAGACAAGATAACCTACAGTTAAAGAAAAACAAAATATTTAGTCCTCAATGTTGGAATCACATTCAAACCATCTCATTTTTACAAAGTATATAACCATCCTTTAAATTCCATATTAGAATACAATAATCAAAAGTAATCTCAAAACTATTAGAGGCCTGAGGGACTAAATAAGAAATGTTTCTGTATGTTCAAAATGAACAGCAATTTCAATAAACGATTTAGTGTGCATTTACTATTGGTCTCAAAAATCAACAACGTCCCTCAAGCTTAAAAGATGCAGGACTTTCAGCCGGGAGCAGTGACTCATGCCTGAACTCTCAGCACTTTCAGAGGCTGAGGTGGGCAGATCGCTTGAGGCCAGGACTTAAGACACCAGCCTGGACAATATGGCGAAACCCCATATCTGCAAAAAGTACACAAATTAGCCAGGCATGGTGGGATGCGCCTGTTGTCCCAGCTACTTGGGAGGCTGAGGTGAAGGGATCACTTGAGCCCAGGAGGTCAGGGCTTCAGTGAGCCATGATTGCACCACTGCACTCCAGCTTGGGTGACAGAGTGAGACCCTATCTCGGAAAAAAAAAAAAAAAAAAGATGTAGTACTTTCAAAAGATACCTTGAGAAGTTTCCCGAGAAACCTCTGAAGCACAAAAATGCAAGTAATGAGAAAATGTTGGATAAGGCTAAAGTGTAGGAAAGCTATTTCCTACTTAATTCTTGATTTCTAAATCTAAGAGTTATTTCTACTTTTTTTCAATGAGCTATCAGCATCTTCTCTTTAAAAAAAAAAAAAAATCCACTCTAAATCAGCTTAATATTTTTGGCTTTCAATATCGTCATTATGGTAGCCAAATTAACCCCCAAAATGTTAAAGGTATTTCACGTAACTGAACTTGTTTATATACACACACACACACATATATGTAAACTTAAACGTGAATTTAAAACCACCCAGCATCAAAATATCTATCAACAAGTACATAAACAATGTGTAGCATATAATGGAATATTGCTCAGCAATAAAAATAAATGAGCTAATTTGTCAATTTAAAAAAGTAACAAGTAAAAAAAGCTATTAATACACATAACAAATTATGCAGAAAGAAATCAGACCAAAATGAGTAAAAACTGCATGATTTCACTTAAATACAATTCTAGAAAATAAATGCAAACTCCTCTATAGCGACAAAAAAAAAAGTGGTACCTAGGATGGTAGGGGGAGGGGCAAGAGGCATGGATTACCAAGGAGCACATAAAAACTTTCAGAGGTGGTGATTATATTCACCATTTGGATCATGGAGATGGTTTCACAGGTGTATACATATGTTAAAACTTATCAAATCATACATATTTAAATATGTGCAGTTTATCATATGCTATATAATATGTGCAGTTTACCATATACTTTAATAAAGCTGTTAAAAAGTAAAACAAAAAATAAAAAATAAAACCACCCCAGTCCTACTTTGTATGTAATCAAATGTATTTATTGAATTATTTTTTCAAATATTTCTACAGTGCTCACTAAATGCTCATATAGTGTCAGAGCAGCCCTAGGATGCAAGTACTATGTTGTTATTCCCACTCTACCAAAAGGAAACAGAGGTGCAGAGAAGTTAAATGATGTGCCCCAAATCACACAGTTTGTAAGTGGTCTCTGTTGCAAAAGCCAATGACTTTACACAAAAGGGTGGCTAGACTATCATGATTGCCTACTATGAAAAAAATGGAAATCCTATTTTAATAATATTGGTCATAAAGCAAACATTAATGGTTAAAATCATCATATTCCAACACTGAAATATCATTTCATAAGAAGGCCAGTTTAAGAAAGATTTTTGGATTATTCTCAATATATGATAAAACAGATTTTTGTCAACCATGATATACAAGTAGTATCAAGAAATGAAGCCTCTGAAGAAATACCATCTGCTATCTCTATCCCCCATACACTGTTAGGGATGTACAATAAATACATTTAGAGATTAATGTTCTGCATAGTATGATAACGGAGATAGCCATCTAAATTTCATGGCCATACCATTTGTTTCGGTATATCTGGTTATTATGTTTTAGATATTTACCATTCTTACGTCCTTTAAATTGCTTTTTCATTACTGTCAGTAATATGGCCCATTCAAATGACTACATGGGCCTGGAACAAAATGCTCAAGTTAAAGCACTAGGAACTTCATGCTTCAGAGTGAGGCTGTTGACCTATAATATAAATCAGTGTCAGAGAAAGACTAACTTGAAGAACGGAGACTATAATAGCTAAAGTGATTTAATGTGACATCAGGAAACCACAGGAAAAAATACTGAAATTCTAGGAAACTGGCAGGGCCATCCTTGGCAATAAGACCCCCAAAGCTTTGCAAAAGGTGATGGAACAGAGCTGTTTTCCATGATGCACATATTTTGTCCTTTTGAGTCCAGATGTTTGGAACACTTAGACTCTGTAGAAATTGCCATATGAAATGTCTAAACCTGAAATTCCCTGCATGTATTTACTGCAGAGGTTAAGGATAAGAAAACCATAGGAAGGGTGATTAACTGTAAACTTGCATCTCACTGGGGTAATGAAAATGTTCTAAAAGTGGATGATGATGATGGCTACCCAATCTAGCTCATTAAAATCCATTTAAGTGTAATTTTAAAATGGGTAAATTCTATGGTATATAAATTATACCTCAATAAAGTTGTTATTGAGGCATAACTTTCTTGTTATATAAATTTGAGGTGTTACTATTTGCTTTTTTTTTTTTTGGAACCACCAAACCAGAAGTCCAGCTAAAATTGTGGCCCTACAAAACTAGAATGGAGACATCCTAGACAGGAATATACAGAAGACAGAGGTCCCCAAATCCTAAGCCCCCCTGCTGGACTAGTGGTCAGTAACTTTCCACAATCATGGCAGATACCTGCTCACAGTTTGGACGTACAAGATGATAATGGAGCTAAAAAGCTAACCTACCAATGTTTCCAGCCCTTCCTACACAGGACGCATTAAAACAAAGGCAGAGAGATCAAAGGCAAAGCGGGAGATGAAGCCAGATCGTAGGGAAACAAAAAATGTGGAAACTAATCTCTTAACTGTTCTTCCTTCTGGAGAGAAACTATGACCTTGGAACTAATTTGTGCAAACCAATTGATCCCACTCCTCTAACAAAAAAAGTATGCACATTCAAAAGACAAGATTTCAAATTATTATTCTAGTTAGAATACGTTCCTCCTAAGAAGAAAAGCAGAACCTTAAGATGTGAAACTTCCAATGGTAACGGGTATGAAAATCAAGTTTTTGGGAAACTTCTGCTTAAAAGGTACACAGGTACATGTGTATGTGCATTTTAATATCTCAAAATAATTGAAAACCATAAGCTTCACTGTTTCCAGGATGATCTATATAGCTCAATAGATTGAGCTGACAGGAGGCAACTGAAAGGGTTCTACAATGACTTTTCTACCTCAGATATTACACTTTAATGTCCTTCCTATAGAGGAGCCAGCCGAGATGGTGTGAGGGTGCTGGAGAGCAACAGTTCCCACAGATCCTCAAGTTCCCTGGTCTTTAGGGGAAAACTACTACACAGAGGTCATTTTGCACCGCTTTCTAACCTACCACCTTCCTGTATATATTGAGATACGGGAAACTGCTTAATTGTTTAGGGAGTTTTTAAATTGCTTTTATATTTATGTTCAATAGGTAGCTAATGAACAAGGGATATATTTCATTTAAAAAAAAAAAATAGAGGCAAGTTGGCAAAGTCCCAGCGACACCACTTTGGAATGCTAAAGGAAAGCATCTCATGCCTGCCAGAAATCTTCAGTACACTTGGGTAGAATCATCAATGCTGTCCTTAGGGACCTGAAACCTGTCCCTCCATTTAAAGACATGCTGCATTGGCTCCTACGTTGTGTAAGCATGCCCATATGATTCTTTATCCTTATCCATTAAGGGAGAAAAAGGATCTGGACATACAGTGCTGGGGTTAAAGTAGAGGTTGGGCTGAAGATATATATTTTGGCATTTAATGCACATTTGGCATTTCAAGCAAGGGATCAGATGGTATCACTTAGGAAAAGTATGCGGGCTAAAGAGAGGAGTGGGCACAGGCTGGGCCCTGAGGTGCTCCCACATCTAGTAAGGTAGTGGATGTCTACAGGAATTCCTGTGGTGCAGGAGAAAAGCCAGGAGAATGTGGCATCAGAAAAGTCACGATAATGTTTCCAGAAGAAACGTGTGGTCATTTATGCTCAGTGCCACTAAAAGGAACAAATAACATGAAGAAAAAACATGGCAATGGTATTAGGCAGCAAAAAAACTTGGTGTTTGAGAAAAATCAGTGTGAGCAGTCATGGAGAGAGAAACTAAATTGGAATTAGATAAAAACTGGAGATGAAGAAATGAAAAACAGCAATTATTGAAAAAGTTTCCTGAAGAAAGGGAGCAGAGAAATGAAGTAGTATCTGGAGGTGGACACTGCATTAGGGCGAAATTTTGATTCTGAAGATGACAGCTCCTCACTGAATTCAGTGACTTTGTCTTCTCTGCTACATCCCCAGGGCCTAGAACAACACCTAACACACAGTAAACGAATAAACTTCCCCAAGAAGAGCATGTCTAAACTGAGATTTGGAAGATGAGAAGGCATCACTTGGAAAGAACAGAGGGAGCTGGAATAGTGTTCAGGCCAAGTGAATGTCACTTGCAAAGGCACAGAGTCAAGAGAGAGCATAATATATCTGAGCAACTAAAAAGAAGACTGGGATGTCTCCACTATAGAGTTTGTAGGGGTGCGAGGGGGGCTGGTATATGGCAAAAGATGAGTCTGGAGAGGTTACCAAGGTTCAGATTATGCAGGGCCTTATAATGGGAATCCTTCGAAGAATTTTTGGCAGTGGAGTAAAATGATGAGATTTTCATTTTAAATAACTATACTTTCAACATGGAGAAGAAATAGAAGAGTGTTACCATAAACAGACTGCCAAAGGCTATTACAGTAACCTAGTAACAAAGGCCTGATATTGTACAGTTACAATGGGGACGGAAAGAAACAGACACATGCAAGAGAAAGTTAAGAGGCAGACAAAACTGGAATTAGGGTGTAAGTAAAGGCAGGAAAGGTTCTGCGAAAAAGAGACATGGATGATATTTTCAACAATGGAGATAAAGAAATTATGATTTGGCCACCTATTATCTAAGTAGTTTCTTATATGCTACCAACATGCAAATGACATTCTAAAGACAGAAAAAGATCAAGAAAAGTAGTATGTGAAGAAAAACTAGATTTGAGTTCTTTGCTTCTGAACAATAGCTTCAGAAGATGGATTCATTCAATTAAACCTTCAGTATTCAAATATTATCACTAAAAGTGAATGGAACAGAGAAGTAAAGACAGCTTTAGGAACAGTTACTTAGCATCTCTGACCTACCACAAGAAAATCTGGCCTTGAAATTCAAGGCAGGGGGAGGTGAAAAGTTCCTCTGAATTAAATTTCCTTCCAAAAATAATAAAATAATCTGCAAATGGTGTGTCCTGTCCTTAACAGCATTCATTAACCAGCATCCAAGAGGGAAAATATATTTTGTAGTTAGCTGGAAAATGAATGCCTAAAGAAAAATTACATGAATCTTAGATGTGTCTACATGTGAAATACTGCCTTTCATAATCAGCAAATATAAAAACTGAAGTACAGAGTACTCTTGGGGACTCATCTTCTACTATTTTCTTGTTTTTCAGAGACCCTAAGTAATAAAATGAGAAACATAAGTTACATACTTCATAGAGGCAACAGATTAAAATATATATTATACATTCCTAGTGGTTTAAGAATTATCTTAGATCTAGTTTTAACTCATTTTAATACTCACAATAAAACTGATGAAAGTGTTCCATTGTTGGTATACCAGGAACAAAGTTATAGAGATGAAACTTCAAAGCTTCACTCTTCAGTAAGCTATAAGCCATCTCTGTAAGATTGATTCCAACTATTGCATAAGAATACCTATGTCAGAAACATTACCAGTTACACCAGCTAGCCGAATAACTCATAAAATAAATTAAAATTACGTTAGGAATTAGTAGAAAATGACTTCAGGTTTAACACAGTATTGCTTTTATGATAATCTCTACATGGTAAGAAAAATATACTAGAAAGAATTTAACATTTTTGCTTTTTAAAGCCTGTATATTTTTCTGGATATAATCTAAGGAATAAAAATAAAGCTCTGTTCACATGATATCTAAAACTAAAATTCTTAAATAAAAAAGGGGTCGGGGGACTACAGACACCAAATCTCACTGATTCCTAAAATACACTGGATAATCCGACATTTTCTTCTCCATTATCAGGGTACTTATTTTTATGATCTAACATTGTTACTATGCTTTTTCAAAGATTAGATACTATCAGAATATTTTTAAAAATAACGGTAAGGCTAATAAAACTACCTCAGTTTGCATTTCACTTTATAATTTGCAAAGCTATTTCCCATTTTCCTATTATTTTTCCAAACTATTTCCTCTGCCTGTCTTCAAATCTATTTCTCAAAAAGATTTTATAAGGGCCCTTATCTCCATTGTATAGATAAACTATATCTTGTGATAAAAATATATTGAACTACATACAAAATTGGTTTACAATCACATTTATCCTTAAAAATAATGTATCATGTAATATTCTTTATAAAGTTCTTACTAAATACTTCATTTTAAGAAATACCTTGATATACTTTCAAATTCATTAATCATCTAAGCATTATAAATGTGAGAGATTACAGCTTCTTTAATATACCCAGCTTACCCTAGTTTTGGATGATTTGAACGGGAAAGAATCTGATGAGCTTCACTAGTGTAATTTTCACTGAAATACCTAAAAAGTTTAAGAAAAATAATCAAAGGAATGTACGCCATTCAAATATAAGATATCCAGAACCAATTTAAAAAGCTACTGTCAAAATGATAGTCCTAGTATTGCCATGAGTATCCTGATATCTGTCTCAAATCACTTCAGTGACTCACAAATGCTTCTCAGTCAAAATTTCCTAGCTATCAGCCCTATGTAGTACAGAATATAGGTCGTTGACAAGACTGTAAAGTACTTTAATAAATAGATAATATAAAAAGAGACTACCTTAAAAAAAAAACTGAATTATTTTTGTTTCTTTGCTGGTTCTAGTTCTATAGAAGAGTCAATATGTACCTGTTAGGACACTCTTCCTTTCACCTAGGTTCGTTCCTCCCACTACAATTTAAGTCTGTGTTGTTTAGTGCCATTTTCAGTGCAATCAGAAGGGAATCAACAATCTTTTGCTTCATCAATCATCTAACTAAAATACTAGCTATAAAACAGAAGTATTAGTAGTACAAGAGAGATGGATATGGAACTATCTATTTGTAGGCACATACATCCTTTTGGCCTATACCAAATCTATTTAACCTTAGGATCACCTCTAAATGATAGACACACACACACAATGCTCGTATGAAGATAAAAATAAAAAATAAATGTCCACGGTTTTACATTTTAGGGGACAAAATCATTGATATTTTCATAAAGCATAGAAATTTCTAATTAACTCTTCCCTCTTTATTCTTCTACAGAGTATTAATATAAACTTCCTTATTTCTTCACTGGCTCTAATTTTCAACCCATTACACCAGGGGCTGTTAACTTAGAAGTCCATGAATTAATGATAATTTATGAATGAAAGGGAATCCAGGAACCATCTTACATTATGGACAACTTTTTCTGTGTATATGTTTCCCAGGGAGAGAGTATACAAAGTTTTCATCAGATTCCCTAAGGGATCTGTAAACACCAAAACAGTTTCAAAAGTCTTGCTTAATGCAATGCTTTCCTAAGTACTCTAATTTTTCTACTTTATCCCTAGATTGACTCTAAAATGCCTTCAGTTGACTATATTTCATTTTTGTAATAATTCAGCATTGCATTAATAGTCAAACTACTCTTAAAATATTCAATCTGTAATATAGAACAACTTTTAATTTCCTTCCTGAATTTAGTTAACCTGTCTTAACAGTATCAAATGGTGAAAAATAAACATATATACACAATAAGAAAAACCATCAAAATTAACCTAATTTAGCCAATTTCAGGATTTTTTCACAGTAAGAATTATCCAAACTTTAATAGCCTAGCCTTCCCATTCTAGACATTTCATAGTCTATAAATCACAATTTCATGGACAGACCCAAACACTACAATTTGTACATTTGCATATCCTTATGGGAGGAAATTAATCTTCCAGGCCATCTTCTAGAATAGTTTTGGCTATCAATTGTGACTTGAGTTACATATTTGGGGTTTCATACATGTAGCTAATCATAAGTATTAAAGAAGATAAAGGAGAAAAAGTTCATATGGTAGTCTATACAAAGTCAGGAATGCAGGTAGGTAAGTTGTCACAGGTGGTGAAGAATATATGTAAAGAGTAAAGAGACTTTATTATCACCTTACCTGGTTATATTTGCCAAAATAGAATCAGGGAGCCCAGAGAGAAAAAGCAAGTGAATAAAGGCAGTAGGAGGATACATAATTCTTTAAGAAGTATCAGAATGGAGATCAGAAAGAAAAAGGAGAGGAAAGCATTGGTAAGTAAAGAAATCACAAACACAAGTATATTTCCACCAACGTCTTTTTTTTTTTTTTTTTAAAGACAGGGTCTTGCTCTGTCACTCAGACTGGAGATGGCACAATCATGACCCACTGTAAACTTGAATTCCTGGGCTCAGGCAGTCCTTCTGCCTCAGCCTCCCAAGTGGCTGGACTACAGGCAAATGCCACCATGCCTGGCTAATTATTTTTGTAGAGACAGGGTCTCACTATATTGCTCAGATTGGTCTCAAACTTTCGGCCTCAAGTGATCCTCTGGCCTCAGCCTCCCAAAGTGCTGGGATTACAGGCCTGAGCCATGTGCCTGGCCTCCAATATCTTCATATTGTTGTCAACACATTAGCAAATACTCCCAGCACTGCAGTTATTAAAATTCAGAGATAGTATGAATCAACTAGATCACTTCTTATTAGAAGTAACTAGATCAGAGATTACATGTAATTTCATTTAGGGAAGAAAAAAAAGTTCACTTTCACTTACACAAGATTGATTAATCCAAGTATGCCCATGCCTCGGAAGTCTGTCTTGGGATCATCACCCTGGAAACCAATTTCAGCCCACTGCTTGGAGATTCTAGCATTTAACTTCTTCGTGGGCATTAGAAGATTCCAAAGCTGTACAAACATATTTCCATTATTAAGACATTTTCTTTCTCATAGCTTATAACTAGTAATTTAATGCTATCAAATAACTTTTGTAGAAAAATCATAGGTTAAGCAAAGACTTTAGGACATTTTTCAATTATCCTAAAACATGCAGCACATTTATTCCCATTAAAAAGACTAAAGAACAGATTTTGAAAACAAATAATACACAAAAATATAAAACAATGAGACGTCTTTATTTACTAATTAATACAGATATGCCCAGAACTGGTAAACTGCTTGCTTGAGAAGAACACAGTATTTTAGGAACTTAGCCCTTGCTTCAGATACCGTATAGTTAAATAGGCTCTATTATAATGGTAGGTTAATAGTGCTTAATCAGAATGAAAATAGGTCTAAGACAGAAGAGGATGAAGAAATGATACTGATAGCATTCCAACTTGTTTTACAGATTTTCAGTTTAAAAAAATATGATTTGGTTTTAAATAAATATCTTTAAGGATGAGGATTTAAGAACAACTATCAAGCCGGGTGTGGTGGCTCACGCCTGTAATCCTAGCACTTTGGGAGGCCAAGGTGGGCGGATCACGAGGTCAGGAGATCAAGACCATCCTGGCTAACATGGTGAAATCCTGTCTCTACTAAAAATACAAACAATTAGCCAGGCCTGGTGGAGGGCAGCTGTAGTCCCAGCTACTCAGGAGGCTGAGGCAGGAGAATGGCGTGAACCTGGGAGGCGGGGCTTGCAGTGAGCCAAGATCGCACCACTGCACTCCAGCCTGGGCGACAGAGTGAGACTCCATCTCAAAAACAACAACAACAACAACAAAAACAGCTATCAAATATTACATACCAACAAACTAATCAATGCAAAATAAAGAAAATTTATTGTTTAAATTCAATACAAGCCATCAAATGAAAGACACAGAAGTTGACTAAAAAAGGTCTGTGAAAATTTGCAAAACAGAAATACTTGCATTTTTTCCCATTTCATTACCATTTCAGGCATTGTTGAATAAGGACCCCTAATGAAAGGAGTATTCTGTTACCTAAAATAAAATGTGAAGACTTGTGACCATGTTTTAAACCAGGGTCAAGACTGGCTCTGAAGCTAAATCTAAGCATTAGATTAGGTTTACCTGGTCACTACTTTTATTACCAACACGTGTGACTTGCTTACATTAGCCTCTCTCCATGAATTCTGCAAGGAGTTTGATCATGCCAATGATAAGGTCTCAGTGATGTGGTGAGAGCCACAGTATAGAACCACTAGTATTAAAAATTTAATATGCATGAATATTGAATTTCTGGGTTCCATTCCTGGAGATTGTAATTTTTGTAAGTCTAAGGTGGAACTTTGGAATCTACATACTGAACACTAGTTCACTCTAGTAAAGGTGGTCCTTGGACTACACTTAAAGCAAGACGGATTACACAGCTCTTTACCCTGCTGAGTATGTGTAGTGTAGAACTGCTGAATATGTGTAGTGTAGAACTGCTGAATATGTGTAGTGTAGACTGCTGAGTATGTGTAGTGTAGAACTGAATTTCACCATGAAGCATCAAGGTAAAATTCCTTGGACTAGAGGGCTAGGACTTGTACTTTTTTCCCTCAAAAGGAACGGTATTGTGTAGCAAGGGCCTAACATGAAGGGAATAACGATGACAATGGGGACAGAAATAGCAGTTAATCCTCAATAAGTGCCAGGTACTATTTTAAACACTTTAAATATAAAAACTCATCCATACAATAACCCTTTGAGATACATATTTGTATTATCCTCATTTAACAAAATACACTTTTCCTGAAAAGCAAAAAAATCCTTTATTGTTTTTAAACTTGTATTGCTTAGTGTTACTTAGATAGTATCAATGTTTGTTTCCACAGAACTCCTAATTCCAAGTGCAATGTGCTACTTTCTTTAACCATTTTCAAATAAAATTGGAATAGGTGTAGAGGATGGGCAGGAGATTCAGCTGTGTTCCAGTCCCTATCATTCTAGGACTAAAGCAAATCGCTTCATCTCCCTGGTCCTTAGAATCTTCATCCTTCAAACAAAGAGACTAGTCTAGATGATCTGTAAAGCTTACTCTAGGTCTATTACTCTTTAATTTTGGCACCTCATTGGCTTTACGGATTTAGACTTTAGAAATAAGAAATAGAAAAACTCTAAGTAAATAATTTTTACTTTCATAAAGTTTAAATCTTTTGTGGCATTACTTGGCAATTAACACTCTGTAAGTCCCAAAAGATTGGACATAATAATCTGAAAAGGGATACACATGTTTTCAATTTGTAAGTAGCTAAAAAAATGCGTGACTTACATGAGCAGTTTGTATAAAAAGTAGGAGAAAAATCTGAAACTTGTAGACATATACTTTTTGGTTGAAAAGATCTCTATAGGTTTTTATTTCAGAATTAAAAACATTAAAATAAAATTTATTTGAATATATTTATTCATAAAAACATATTCATTATATATTTATAATAATGCTTATCAGAAAATTATAAAAATAGCTAACTAAAAATCTTTCCATATCAATGAAATCCAGCATAATAAAATTCTCTAAGGGCAAAGAAACCATATAAGCCTAGCCATATAAGCCTCTAGAATTTGCACAGACTTTACTTAGCTGAAGCCTGATTTATTTTTCTAGTGTTCAACAACTCCACATAAAGAAAACAGAAATTTACCTTCATGAGTAGCTCTTCATGTTGTAGGTTATCAGAATCATATGGCCTTTTCCTCACACTTTCTACATCCAAATAGAGCTGTTTATAACCAGTTATCTGAAGTAAGCACATCTTCATGCAGATTTTAAAACTAAAAATAATAAAATTATTTTTAAAAAGCATACCTTCTTATCACAATAAAGTCTTTCATAGCTTGGGGTTCGTAAATCTATTTAGAAAGCATTTCCTGGCTTTCAGTTTAACATAAGACCCACCAAAGGCCTCCTTAAACACAAAACATTATGCAAAGTATTATATAGGATACAAGGCCTAGAAAGAGGGCAAGATATGGTAGGAATGGCAAACTTCACAATTGTAAGGATTTGTGAAGGCTTTTCTCTTCATGTTTTCTCTGGGCAATCCTATACATTCCTAAATCCTTATTGCCAGATACCACCAGTAGACTTAATTTTCCAAGTATATATAAAACAAATAGCTCCACAACAGTTTATCTCAGCTCTAAATACAACTGCTTCTCTTCCCTACACAAACATGCTTCTTCTTTAGTCTCTAGATCTATTAATGACATCGCTACCCATTAGTTCCCCTAACTACAACACTCCAAATTCTGACCTGCCTCTCTCCATCACAATGTGTCCAAAGATCCCCATACCCTAATCCTTTCTAGCTCTGAACAAAGCAATCCTCATAGCACTCTTTCTCCTACTGTATTTATGCCTTTGTCATTTCTTGCCTGAATGACTCAAGTTTCCTCTTGTTTACTCCTTCTGCCAGCCTCCCACATCATCAAATCTACGCTCCATCTTCCTAAAATACATATCTAAAAATGTAGCTTGTTTGCTTAAAAACCAGAGGACAACATCTACATCCTTCAGTATGGCATACAAGACTCTGTGATGTATCAATCTAGCATTTCACTCATTTCTCCGGCCACTACTCTGATCATATTCAATGATCCAGCTACAAATAACTCCCTATCATTCCAGATACAAAAGTATTAATAGTTCTATGTCTCTCTACCTTGCTGGCACTGCTCCCCTACCCACTCATGAAGGTCCAGCGTAAATGCCAGCTCTTAGGTGGAACTATCCTCACAGTTCCCTCCTAGACCCTTCCTCGTCTCAGCTGAAATAAATTGTTCCTTCCTCTATATTCACATAGAAAATGCTGAATGAAGGAAAAAATATGAAATACTATGTCAACATACCAGTGCTGGGAACACAGAAATGGGATAAGTCCTCTTCTTATGGAACTTAGAATTTACAGGGGGAAGGACAAGAGTTAATCAATGACTATAGTACAATGGGTTACATGGTATGATAGAACTACGAGATGCCACAGCAATGCATCTAACTCAGAATGGAGGAGCCTGGGAGGATTTTACTAGAGGATATAGGAACTGTATTTCAAAAGACATAGTAGCCAAAGTTATTAACCTTGGGAAAGTCATGGTAAGACACCTTGAAGAAGGCAGATGATATACTGGCATTAGTTCTGGATTGGAAACCAAGAGATACAGGTTCTAGTACTGATTCTATCACTGCCCTCTCTGGATCTCGACTGCTCCTCTTGTGAAGTGAGAGCACTGAATCAGATGATCTCCACAAACCCTTCAGCTCTAGAGTGTTACAACAGTGTGTGATCTCGATACTTCACAGGCTATGACTGCATAATAAAAAAATAATAATGTACAAAAAGCACACCTGGCATCCTTCTCAGGGTTAATATTCTTTTCCTTCATAATATCGTCTACACATTTGTCCACTTCACTCTGAACAACACGTGTCGCCTTCTGTAAAACCTATTTATGTGAAAGAAAGCCAAATGAGAAAAATTCTTTGTAGCTGAAAAAGACACAGTTTTGAGGCATTTAATCAACCTTACAAAGTAGATATTGAAAATGCAAAATAAACCCAGTTTGTTGCAACCAGTTTATTTCAAAATTTCTCTAGGGCTAACCTCATATATATATATATATATATATATAGTTTTATAATAAAAGAACAGCAACATGATGTATCAGAGGAAGGCTTCCTCAACTGAGTCAACAGGTTCTCAGCTGACGAGTTCTTAGCAAATGAGCTGCCACCATAGTGTTTATGAAGTAGATATTTTAATTACATAATAAAAATGTTTAAAAATCCTGAATGCATAAGTTTAAAAAATTAAATGCAGAAAAGAGTTGAATCTCATAATCTTGTCTCCAGAGATCACCACTGGTAACAAATTGGCATTGACAAAAACAAAATCAGATCAAATTTGAACTGTAGGAATTTACTGTGCATACTGAAGAACAGTTCGCAAACTAAGACTTCGAATCAAAACTGGTAAGAAAAATAAAAATAGAGTCCGTAGTTTAGATATACCCCAAGGCGAGACAGAGAAAGAAACAGATTTCCCCAGATAAAAGTAAAAGGTGAGAAGAAAATGGTCAAAGATCTATTAATAACAATCAGTAAAGATACAGATGTGGTCAACAAAGTCTAGTTTGTCCAATTCTGAGATAATATGGCTACAGGAAGAGTGTTGAAGCTTAAATACCAGCAATGGTAAAAGGACTACCTTCACCATGTGTAGTCAAGGCAAAAGCCATACGTTTTGCATGTATCACAAACTCCTAAAATATTAAAAATCCAGTTCAATGTCACCTCCTCTGCGAAGCCTTCCCCAGCCCTAGAGTTACCTACTTCTTTTCACAGTCATACTTCAGTTAGAGAGCACTGACCACACCATATTTTGTTTCTCTATGTTCTCTACCAGCTTTTGTCTCTCTTATTTACTCTTATATCTTGAGCATCTAGCATAGCACATTACTGATTATATGCTCAAAACTTCATTACATATATTATGAACAAATGACTGATTGAATGAACTCGCCCAAGGCATACATAAATGTAGGGCAGAGTTAAGAAGAGAAACCACATCTAGTTTCTAAGCAAATACTCTTTCCTGTATATACTATTCCATTACTTTTTAAAAAATTGATTTATAATTTAAATACAGTGAAAGGCACAGATGTTATTTGATCTGTTTTGATGAATACATACATCCAGATAATCCACATCCCTACTATGATACAGAACATTTCTATCATCCCAAAAAGTTCCTTTACGCCCCTTTTCAATCCATTCTTCCTTCAAGAAGCAACCACTGTTCTGATTTCTACCACCATAGCTTAGCTGTGTGCACATAAATGGAATCAAAGTATGTACTCTTTTGTGTCTGGTTTTGGTTCAATTAACGTTTCTAGAATTCATCCACATTCTTACTCAAATCCACATTCTTTCTCATATCTGTAATTTGTCCCTTTTAATTGTTGAGTTGTATTGCATGAATATACCTCAATTTGCTTATTCATTCTCCTGGTACTGGAAATTTGCATTGTTCCCAGTTTGGGATTACACTTTATTATACTTTTGATAAATATATATTTTCATTTCTTAGACACCTAAGAGTGAAATTACTAAGATATAGGGCAGTATGTGTTTAACTTTCAATGAAATTGCCAAAACCACCTTCCAAAGTGATAATATCATCTTATACTCCAACTGGTGTTTGCAACATCTGTGTTGTTAGTCTATTTCATTTAGGTAACTTTTAGTGTCCTCTCATTGTGACTTTAATTTGCATTTCCCTGACGACTAATAATGCTGAGCACTTTTCCAAGTGTGTATACACACACACACACACATATATATACACACACACACATATATATACACCTTTGTCAAGTGACTATTCAAGACTCTTGTCCACTAAAAATTCTGTTGCCTTTTTATTACTGACTTATAAAAGTGCTTTACTAGCTACAAGTCCCTTATCAGAAAAATATGCTGCAAATACGTTGTCGGTCTGTGGCCTGCCTACTCCTTTCCTTAAAGATATCTTTGATAAGCAGTTTTATTTTGATGAAATTTAACTTTTCAATTTTTTTAAGTGGTAGCATAACCCAAGGTGGAAGATACTCTCCTATGCTTGCTTTCAGAAACTTAAGTTTTAGCTTAAACATAGGTCTAATGTCCATATTAAATTAGTTTTCATGTATGGTAAGAGATTGAAGCTGAGGTTTGTTTTTTCCCCTATATATACCCAGTTGTTCCAGCACTATTTATTGAAAAGACTTTCTTCTCCTCATTGAATTGCTTTGATACCCTTGTTAAAAATTATATGACAGGCCGGGCGCGGTGGCTCAAGCCTGTAATCCCAGCACTTTGGGAGGCCGAGGCGGGTGGATCACGAGGTCAGGAGATCGAGACCATCCTGGCTAACATGGTGAAACCCTGTCTCTACTAAAAATACAAAAAAAAAAAACTAGCCGGGCGCGGTGGCGGGCGCCTGTAGTCCCAGCTACTCGGAGGCTGAGGCGGGAGAATGGCGTAAACCCGGGAGGCGGAGCTTGCAGTGAGCAGAGATCGCGCCACTGCACTCCAGCCTGGGTGACAGAGTGAGACTCCGTCTCAAAAAAAAAAAAAAAAAAGTTATATGACATATTAGGTGTGGCCAATTTCTGGTCTCTCATCTGTTATACTCATCTTTTGACTAGAAAGTCTTAAAGTCAGGTAGTGGGGGTCCTTTTAGAAGATTATGTGGGCTATTCTAGGTCCCTTCCATTTCTTTATAAACTTTAGAATGAGCTTGTCACAATCTTCAAAAGTAGTCTGCAGGGGTTTTTACTGGAACTGCATTGAATCCATAAATCAATTTGGCAATTAATATCTTAATAATACTGAGACCGCCAATGGATGAATACAGTGTATGGTTCCATTTTCATCTTTCTCAGCAATCTTCTCTGGGAGTTTCAGTGCAGAAGTCTTATGTATCTTTCATTAAATTTAGCCCTGAATATTTTATGTTTTCTGGATGCTTTTGTAAGTGGTACTGTTCTTTATTTTCCAAAAGTTTGTTGCTAACATACAGTAGTATACCATGTCCTGTAATACTACTAAATTCATTTACTAATAATGCCAGTAGTTTTTGTAGATTTCTTAAGATTTTCTACATTCATAATGTCATCTGTTAATATAATTTATTTCTTTCCAATCATTATGTCTTATATTGCTTCTTCTTGCCTTACTGCACTACTTAGGATCTCTAGTATGATGCTGAATAAAAGCAGAGAGAGTACATCTATTTGTCTTCTTCTTAGTTGAATGTGGAGAGCATTCAATAATTCAGTGTTATGTATCATGTTAGCTGCATGTTTTTCACAGCCTTTCATAGGTTGAGAAAGTTCCTTATCTAGTTGAGATTTTTTAATCATGAATTGGTACTGAATTCTGTCAAAACAGTTTTTCAGTATCTGCTGAAATGTTCATATTTTTCTGATTTACTCTGTTAATGTGGTAAATTACATACATTGATTCTGAAAACTCAACATGACAGGCCGGGTGCGATGGCTCATGACTATAATCCCAGCACTTTGAGAGGCAGAGGCAGGCGGATCACCTGAGGTCAGGAGTTTGAGACCAGCCTGAGAAATGGTAAAACCCTGTCTCTGCCAAAAATACAAAAATTAGCCAGGCATGCTGGTGTGCACCTGCAATCCCAGCTACTTGAAAGGCTGAGATGAGAGAATTGCTTGAACCCAGGAGGTGGAGGTTGCCGTGAGCCGTGATCACGCCACTGCACACCAGCCTGGTCAACAGAGCGAGGCTCCGTACCAAAAAACTAGTTCAACCATTGTGGAAGACAATGTGGCGATTCCTCAAGGATCTAGAACTAGAAATACCATTTGACCCACCATCCCATTACTGGGTATATATCCAAAGGATTATAAATCATGCTGCTATAAAGACACATGCACACGTATGTTCACTGCGGCACTATTCACAATTGCAAAGACTTGGAACCAACCCAAATGTCCATCAATGATAGACTGGATTAAGAAAATGTGGCACATATACACCATGGAATACTATGCAGCCATAAAAAAGGATGAGTTCAGGTCCTTTGTAGGGACATGGATGAAGCTGGAAACCATCATTCTCAGCAAATTATCACAAGGACAAAAAACCAAACACCACATGTTCTCACTCATAGGTGGGACTTGAACAATGAGAACACTGGACACAGTAAGGGGAACATCACACACAGGGACCTGTGGTGGGGTGGGGGAAGGGGGGAGGGATAGCATTAGGAGAAATACCTAATGTAAATGACGAGTTAATGGGTGCAGCACACCAACATGGCACATGTATACATATGTAACAAACCTGTACGTTGCGCACATGTACCCTAGAACTTAAAGTAAAAAAAAAAACCTCAACATGACATATTATCCTTTTTATGTATCACTGGGATCAATTTGCTAGCATCCTGTTAAGGACTTTTGCACCTATATTCATGAAGGACATTGAACTGTAATTTTCATATATTATGTTGTCTATCTCTGGCTTTAGTATCAAGATGATACTGGCCCCATAAAGTGTGTTTCTTTCTATTCTGTTTCCTAGGAGCTAATGTAATAGTGGTATTATTTCTTCTTCCTTAAATGTTTAACACTTCACTAGTGAACCCAAGATTGGAGATTTGTGAAAAAATTTTAAATTACAGCTTCTATTTCTTTATTAAGTACATGACTATTTAGATTTTTTACTTCTTTTTGTGTTAGTTTTGGTAAGTTGTTTTTCAAGGACTTTGTCCATTTCATATAAATGGAACAATTTACTGGCATAAAGTTGCTCATAGAATCCCCTTATTATACTTTGAATGACTATAGGCTGTAATGAAAAAGTAGAGGCCCAAAAATGCAAATGTGCATCACTATAGCATTAAAAGAAAACTAATGTCATAAAACTTATTTATTATTCAACTATCTAACAGCTATATTATTACTATTTAAAACCTAAGACAGCAGCTGCAATACAAAGACAGCCACCAAAAACACTAATAGATTGCCAAAGTATTTCTCCCTAACTTTCAGAAATTCAGATGCCTGTGTATGCATAAGTACATGGAGCTTTGCTACACTGTCATATATTGCATGGGAGCCAGACTTCTTAGCAGAATATTGAATTAGACTCCTCAGATTCTGATAAGTCATTAATTTTTGTTTATAAATCCCAAAGTTTAGTAACCCTTAATATCTAATTGATAAATAGTCCTTAATCTAAAATATAAGCAAATAAGACTCAATTTTTAACAAAGAAAGAATGCACACTGTGGAACAGTTCATAACCCAACAGGATCATACTCCAAGATCACTGCTTTAGGGAATCACTCTGAATAGATCAAAATCACTTTTATTCACAGCAATCATTGGTAATGCTAAGTAATCTGAAGTACCAAAGAGGTTTTCATGAATATCAAACTTCTAAAATGATTATGGTATATATTGGCTTAATTCTATTATAATTAATATTATTAGTAACCACTATTTGTTGAATACTTATCAAGTATTGGGCATTCTCTTAGACTGTTTTCATAGTAGTATCTCTAATTTCAAAACAACTATGTGGGTATGAATAGCTTTTAGCATGAGCAAATAAGTAACTTGCACAAAGTCAAACAACTGGTAATTGATAATATCAGGATTTGAACCCCGACTTTTTCATAGAATAAAAATGTAATTAGGTAAACCAAAATATCACAAAATGAGAAAAAGATTTACCCTACGAAGTAAATGGAATATACAAATTAGGTGCAATACACACATAAATTATATTTTTAAATTGATAAAGCTACTTCTGTTTATTGGAAAGTTTATCTTAGATGTAAAACTTTAAAAGAATAAACCATAAGTGATTTAATTTCAGTATTTACCCATTTGTTGACGATTCTCTTTGCAGGCCCTCCAACGTACTATCAGCAATTTCTATTTTTGAATAATGAAGTTATAAGAATACAATTTTAATGTTTACTTTCAAGTGAACTTTTTAACAGCAAGCAACAGAGGTAAAAAATAATGAACATTTTAGGCCAGGCACAGTGGCTCACGCCTGTAATCCCAGCACTTTGGGAGGCAGAGGTGGGCGGATCACAAGGTCAGGAGATCGAGACCATCCTGGCTAACACAGTGAAACTCCATCTCTACTAAAAATGCAAAAAATTAGCCGGGCATGGTGGCAGGCACCTGTAGTCCCAGCTACTCGGGAGGCTGAGGCAGGAGAATGGCGTGGACCCAGGAGGCGGAGCTCGCAGTGAGGCGAGATTGCGCCACTGCATTCCAGCCTGGGCGACAGAGCGAGACTCTGTGTCAAAAAAAAAAAAATGAACATTTTATTTTTCTTTAACTTGTAACCACTACTTTAAAATCCCCAAACACTCTAGTCTACATTTACCTCTTGCTTCTCTAAACCTCTATTTACAATTACATTCAATTTCAGTCTTCTTTTGTATATCTTTTGAATATCCCAAAGACCCTGGTTGAATATTGAACATACGGTAGTCATTCAAATCCTTGAATGGATTTGACCAAGGCACTGGAGTTCTTACATGTAGCATCATACGTACTGTTCCACTTAAGCTTGGCATGATTTTACCACACATACAATCCCATTAATACATTCTGTGACCAAAACTGTTGTTACAAATGCAGTACTAACAATTACACTGATAGATGTGATACTGGGTCGCCAGTTCCAGAACCTCTGCAGTAAATTAGTAAATAAAAGACACACTACACACTCTATTCTGAAAAAAGTAAATTTTCATTTACTTATTATTCCTTAACCTCTTATTTTTCTCACTTATTCATTCATTCACTCAATACATATTCAGAGTCCTTATCACATTCCAGGCACTGTTTCAGGTACTAGAAAAACATCAGTGAACAAAACAAAACAAAACCCAAAGAATGCCTTTTTCTTTTCAGGAGTGGAAAAACAAGTAAGTAAAATATTTGGTGTGCTAGGGATGGTCTGTGCTATGGTGAAACAACTAAGGAAAGGGGATCATAAACAGAGACAAGAGTATACCCTTAGGTAGAGAATGGTCATGGAAAATCTCATAGAGAATGTCATAACTGAGGAAAAACGTGAAAATGAAGAAGTGAGCTAAGCTTTTAAGCAGAAGATGATAATCCTAGTTAAACAGAAGACCTGGTGCAAAGGTCATAAACCAGAAGCATGCCGATGTGTTTGGAAAATAACAGGCAGCACAGTGGTGATGACCGGTGCACAAGGCAAGAATAGTAGTAAAGTCAGAGAGCCATGAAGGGGACCAGAGAAGAGTTTTAGTAGACAGCAGCAGCGGCAGTGTTGGTCAACTTCCAGACTGAGAGATGTCAAGGTATTTGAAGGAATACACTACTGAAAAATTAGGGTTGGAAGCTGGGGATTGTGGGTATAATATAAAGAGCTCAGTTATGGTTTTACTCTCTTTACAACATCCAGGCTTAAAGAAAATAGGTTTCACAGAACAATTCATTCTAGAGGGTTCAGCACCCAAATAGTTCCAAACCAACTTGTTTAAGGTCAGTTTGAAAAATGCACACAGTTTCCTATCGAAACAAAGTTAAAGCAGTTATGATCCACAATAGTTCCGAGACAGCATACTAATATGCTATTAGTGCCTCAAGACACTGCCCCCAGCAGCAGGAACAGCTGCAGCAGTATCACCTGGGAACATGTTAGAAATGCAATCAGAACCAGATCAGAAATTCTGGGGGTGGGGCCCAATACTCTGTGTTTTAACAGGCCTCTAGAAGATTTTGATTCATCCTTAATTTAAGAACTACTCTTGTAATGGACCTGAAATAAAACACCTCCCCAAGTGCATCTGCTACAATTTATAATATTGTTACTTTGAGAAACTGCATCCTATGTTTCAAACAAAGGAACTATATAAATAGATAAGGTATAAATAAATGTTGAGAACCAGCAACTTGTTAGCTTTCAGGACCTCCGTATCCTCATTTTCGAAAATACATTAATCACTCTCTAACAATTCTGAACAAAGGAGTGTAACTCTGGACTCTTCCCCCAAATATTCACTTATATATGAGTTATTCTTACATAGACCATTCTTGAAGAGTATAACTAAATCATTAAAGTACCTATTTTAAAGGTTACTCTTCAGAACATAACAGATATGCTTGCAACTCTCAAGAAGGTCTATTTTATTTCTGCCACGATTCATATTACTAGACAGTAGCAAAGCAACATTTTTGACCTTGAGCCACATTTTACATTATGGCTAAGAACAAACATTCATGTGGATGTCTAAAATACATACAGATGTACACAGAAATATTTAAAATAATTATAATAGTATAAAAAATTCCTAAAATATATTTAACCATATTATGACCAATGGTTTCTAAATATTTTCTATTCTATTCCTATTATTGTTTAATACTGGTTGTGTTCCATTATGGGATTTCAAACAATGGTCTAGATGACTCATATTCTATCCTTGCCACACCAAATAATCTACGTGTAGACAAAACTGTGAACTACAATAGGGAAGTAACAGCACGTGGTAGACTGAATTACTGGTCCCAATTCTTCATTACCCTGTAATTGAATTATACAACCTACTCCCTACCATAGCCTTATGGTGGGCATATCATATTTCTCCACCCCTTGACTTGCGCTTGGCCACGTAACTTGTTTTAACTAACAGGTTGCTAACAGACATGACACAAAGAAACTTAAAATATGTTTGTGTGGTCGGGCCTTCAGTTACCCATGGTGAAAACATTCACCAGGTACCTGTTAACCCCCCACCTGAGTCCCAGATGAGACGAATGGAATAAACAGGAACTTGGCCTCAGCCTGAAGTAAGGCTTCTCCAGCTGACCCATAGACATATGAGCAAGAAACAACTATCATTTTATGCCTCTGAGATTTTATAATAGTTTGTTACACAGCAAAAGCTGACTAATACATAGCATGAATTATGACTTATTTGAGCTCAGAAGGTACACAACCCAGGGTTTTCTCTAATTATCCTAAGTTGCTTTTCTCTCACATAACCTATCCAGAAGACACTGTCTAAAAGACAGCTTTCCTCCTAAGGCCCTGCTTTCCCAAAAGCTATCAACTCTTAAAGCAAAATAAACAAGTAAAACCTCAGAACAGGACAAATTATTCAAGTATTTTCTTTGAAACACACATGAAAAACACACATACATAGAGAAACATTTGAAAACAGAATATTACCTCTAAAGGGGGAAAATTTCACTCAACGCTCCTTATAGAAAACACTCTTCTAGCAGGGCACTTATTATTTTTTTAAGAAAAAATATGTCCAAGTTAAGTTTTCTAGAGTTACCACCTTTATGTTATCCTACCTTATTCTTGGAGTATGTCAAGGAATTTTCTGAAATGACAAAAAAAAAAAAAAAAGATGTTACCATTGAATGCTGTTTGTGAATTACCCTATAATAAACAACTAGTAAAAATATCAAACCAGTAATAAACTAATAGTGCCAGGAGATATAATTTCTACATAACAGCAAGCATTTTAAAATTTAATCTTACAGTATAAATAACTCAACCAAACACAACATATCTATCCAAAGAGGGGACACTAACCTCATTACCTGGGGTCATCTGTTTCTGTTTAGACCCCGAAGTGTCTACTAACCACTGCAAACTCACCCATGATTGCGTCACAGTAGCTCAGGTCCCAGAAACTCATCTTAACACTACAATGAGAGTGCTCTCTATTGCATTTTCATTTGTTAGCCTGACCGTTTACATTTGAGGTGACAGCAACCAAATCGTACAACAAAGGAGCAAGGACTTCAGATTATCTGGTCAACCCTTCTGTCACCAGACAAATAGCTTCTCCATTCCTGGTTTCTATATCAAGAATGACAGGAACATTTTTATTGGTCTATTTAAAAAAATTTCTGGCACATTTACGAATAATCTTTTCTCAGCAATTTGAAAAATATAAGAAAAATGCTTTTGCCACAAACAAATGCCTTTATATATATTCTTCCCCCACACTCTAAAACACCAACCCATACTCCCTGAAGAGATTTCTTATCAAGATGTACTTTGCTCTTTTGAGTAGTCAAAAGGGCAAGTTAAAAGAGCAGCAATAATTTAAGTCAGCCATGAAGTTGTAAGAAAACTAGGAAAGTAATTCAACTTCATCAACCAGTTGCCCTGAGGCAGCTTCTGTCTGTCATTCTTCCGATGTTGTTTTGGATACAGGTTCCAATTGCCAATACTCCACTCTCTCAACCTGACAGGGGTTGATTTCTCGGTCGAAGCACACTTGATTAACACAAAAGGAAATCTGGCTATTTCACAATTTTCTGTTTAACATAGAGAGCATGAGCTAGAGCACTTCCCTGCTCTTCCTTACCCTGGCTGAAAAGAAGCGACTTCAAACCACAGTTCTTACTCATCTATGTTCAAATTTTAGAGTAAAATTTTCACTGAAGCACTGAAAACTGATGTATTTTAGAAGGTACCAGAGCAACACTGTTCAACAGAAATATAACACAACCCAAATTGTGACCCATTTGTGTACTTTAAAATTCTCTATAGCCACATTAAAGTAAAAAGAAACATAAAATTTTAATATATTTTTAACCCAATATGCCCAAAATATTACCATTTCAACATATAGAGAATATAAACAATTACTGAAATTTTTTTACATTTTCTTGTAAGTCTTTGACATACAGTTTATATTTTACACTTACAGCACATCTCAATTTAGACTAGCCATATTTCAAATGCTCAATATAATGTGGCTATTGGCTACGGTATTGGACAGTGAGAATGAGTCTAATAGTCTTTCCTAGAGACCACTGGATACCTAATTACGGGCCTTTCATAAGTAACAGTAAGAAAGTAAAAGGCTGATGAAGGATGCTAAGTATAAAAATGGATCTAGACTGAGGCACTCATCCCATCATGTGAGTGAAAATTTCAAAGGGATTATATAAGTATAGAAATTCTTCACCAGAAAATAGGTGGCAGCTATAATCTAAGGAATAACTGATAAACTTCAGGAGCCAAAGGAGATAATTCTTTCCACAGATAAGCAACTCAATAATCACTTTTTCTATAAATTCATACAATTTTAGAGCTGAAAGAGTCAAAGCAGGATTTCAAAGCTTATGAAATTCAGTTTAAGTGACTTGTCAGGATACACAAGAAATACATCTGTCACTGTGAGGACTGAGAAAAATATTTAGTTAAACTTTTATTAGCACTTTTTCTTTTTCGAATAACATTACCTATCCTGTGTGTCCTCTGTGCACCTACATAGGTATCAAATATTCGCTGCAATTCACACTTCCCAGTCATCTGTCGTAATAGCCATTTCATCCAAAATCGAAAAAAGTGCCCATAGAAGAACTCCCACAAAGAAATAAACATTTTTTTTTTCCTGGAGGAGGGAAATATACAAGACAAGCTTAATGACCTTAAACTGAATTTTAAAATTTAAAAAATTAGTTTATACAACTGATCAAATCTCAAATTATGTATCTATTATTTCACTGTGTCTGTTTTGTGATAGTGTTTAACTAGGCATCTAAAAACAATGGCAGGTGTAATATATACCGCTTACATTAATTAAATGATGGATGATTCAATGGCCAATTTATCACTTTTTCAAAACGAAAATTCACACAACGTAGTCAAACCACTCAATGGCTTGAAAGAATAACGGAATGGTTTGCTAAATCATTGTTTCATATCTTAGTTTCCAAATTTCCCATTCTTTGAGAATTGGGGTTCAACAGTTCAAGATCAAGAGGACCCCAACTAATCAACAATTAAAATATATACCAAAACATCAGAACTGTTTTTATAGAATACGCTCTTCTTATCCCATGTGGATAATTCGTTACAACTGTCCCAGTCAGGTGATGCCAGCAAATAAAAACACTACATATGGCTTATAAACTTAAGTATACAAGTTGAACACGGAGTATATAACACCTTAGCTCATTCTTGACTTTCCATTCAATAGGTCAAGGGCAGAAATACTAACAAGATTTTGTTTTTGTTTTTTTGTTTTTTAAGTATACACTCGATACAACTGCATCTTATGTCTTAAGAAAATTCTTCAGCTTCTAAATGAAAAAGTCAGGGAGATACTAGTGAGAGGGAGATACTTAAAAACAAAATTGCTCGTCTCCTTCCTGCCTTAAACATTCCCACAGACACGTCATCTCTGGACTAGGGCCTGAGGAGGGGCTGTCAAATTCGAAGTCGCCGCAGGTCAGTGCAGAAAACAGCACACAGCACAGCTGGGTTGATCATTATCTTGAAAACCAAGCCATCTAGTCCGCGCTCATTAGGACAAAAGCGCAGAACTGCCGAGCAGAAAGGATGCACGACTATCGGCGCCTGAGCACCCCCAAGGCTCGGGGCGTCGCTGCGCCGACCCCCCTCGCGCGCCGCCCGCGAATGGGAGGGCAGGGCTCGCACAAAGACCCGCCGGCCCAGGCGCCCCCGGGTTCCCGCAGAACCCCGCGGGGCTCGCGAGCCCGCGCACTCTCAGCGCAGCCGCACCGATGCAGCGCGGGGCAAGAGGAAAAGAAACAGCAGCCACCTCACAGGAGCGGAAGAACTAGGGGGAGCAGGAGCTGCCTCGGTTTCCCCACTGCAAACAGCCGGCAACGGAAACGACGGAACTCTCCCTGCTAGCACCGCGACCCGGAAGTCAGGGAGCGAGGCCGCGGACCCGCCTTCCCAGGGCCACTGCCCGCCCCGCCCCTCCGGCCTCTTCCGATTGGCCGGCGCTCCACCTATTGCTAGCGCAGGAGAGAGGTTGAGCTGAGTGGCCCCGGCGCACGGGCTCAGAGCCTAGGGACGCCCGGACAGTTTCCCTGGCAACGGTGGTAAGGAGCCCCGCCCCGCGCCAGAGTAGTGTCTGCTGGCGCTGCACTGGAGATTTTCCTGTCCTTAAACCTCAGGTCATTAGCACAGGTTGACACCATGTACTATTCCTAGGCTCCAAGCGCGGAAGAAATCCTGTGCTTATGGTAACTTACAGTGCGTTGGTTACAAAAGCGCTTTCATCTGCATTGAATCTTAATTTTGTGAAGTGATTATGAATAGCCCCACTTTATGCAGGAGGAAAGGGAACGGGTTACTTGACTGTGGTCAATACGTGGCAGATGAGGAAAGCCCGTGTGTTGAGGAAAGTCCGTGTGTTGAGAAAAGAAGTTTGGACTTTATCCTATAATACTATAGATCTAAAAGTTAATTTATCAAATGTTTATTCCCTAACTGGTTGTTCTTGTTGAAAAAGTAATTTCGTGATTACTTTTTAAAAATCTCAAACAGTAAGTTTCTTAATTCAACAAGTATTTGTTAATTGTTAGCACAGGCAGCGTTCCAAAAGGCAGTCAAACACTAAACAAACAGGCAAATATTCAGTATGTCAGATGCTACCAAGTGTTAAGGGTTGTTAGCTAAGGGGTCATGGGGAGTCTGTGGGGGAAGTCATTACATACAGTGTGGTCAGGGAAGTCTCAGTATTAACGTAGCATTTCGGTCTCATTGAATGAAGTAAGGGAGTTCACTGTGGGAGTATCTGGAGGGAGAGTGCACCAGGCACCGGAATGACAAGTGCAAAGACCTTGAGTTGGGAGCGTTTTTGAAATGGAGGAACAGCAAGAAGGTCGGGGTGGCTGGAGGAGAAAGAGCAAGGGGGAGAGTCGAATATAAATGCAAAGGACAACTGATATTGAAAACAAATTTTCCCATCCACCCAAAACTCCTGATACCTCAGTCACCTTGCTCAGAAACAACCAGTATTACTTTCTTATTTCTAATTCCAAAAATATTATATGCAAGTATACATATGTATATTCCTTCCAGCTCCTTGAATTGAAGCAAGTGATACACACTTTCCCACATCTCAACTGGCATTTAAACAATGGACGAATTGTAGAACACTAGCCATGTGCAGGGTGCATAAGCCATCATCCCTGTCCTGTACAAACAATGAACTTGTAATGAAGTCTGGATAGACACTATATTAGTAAAATCATGGAATCCTAAATCTTAAAGAGAGCTTATAACTATCATCTAATGTAATTTTTTTGAATTGTAGATTAAAAGATTTAGAAAGGCAAAGTGCACAGCCGATTTGGCAAATTGAGATGTAAACTAACTTCTATTTCAGGAGGTTCTCCATTATTACACAAACTTTTACATAGTAGAAGGTGAGATAATTCTATATGTAATCCTTTTGCCTTTTCAAAGTGCTATATTGAGTGTAGGCAGTGCTGTAGAGGAACTCTCTCCTCCTTATTTCCCTGTTGCCTGTTGGCCCACTTCCATTTATGTTTTTCCCCAAGAGAAGAGAATGCTAATATGTTTTGTCAGAACCTGAGAAATTGATTAAGCTGCATTTATTGTAAGCAGGGTCACTGTACATTAAAATTTCTTATGCATACCTTTTGCCTCTTCCCTTTTCCACTAATTCCCTTGCATGTAACTGGCAGATACATTAAACCAATCCTGTTTCTCAGGAAAGATTGTCCATCTCTATTTCTTATTTTCTTTGGTTTTCTTCTTTCTTGTGGCTAGCTAAAGGCTAATCATATCCTAAGATTAAGATTCTGGTTTCATGGAGAAAGTGGGACCTTCTCACAGGTTAGGTCCCTAGGTCTCTCAACCTGTGTGCATCTACCTGGCCTTATCAGATACACCTACATACAAACCAAAGGCAATAGTGTAATGAAATTTGGTTATATTTTTTAGTAGTACTGAGGAATCTCTGCTTTCTTGGATTCTCAGGCTAAACAGCCATGGAACTGTTGATTTTAGAAACTACTTAATGGAAAGAGTTCTCTGGTATGACTGCTAATCATCAACTTGTCACAGTGTTCAGTATTTAATCCACAGAAGACCCAAATTAAATATCAGCGCCCCTTTGGGAGTGTGTGATGTCTGAAATACCTTAAATTTATACGGAAAAGGAAAACTTTATATCCATTTTGTTAACAGTGAAACTGTTGCTTCTGTGGAAGCATTAAAAATATAAAGGGCAGTGGCAACCCTGCTTGGTTTTATGATGATTAGTGTTGAGCTTCCCTATGCCTCTGCCCTGCACTATTATAGACATTGTGATTAGGGGGAATCCCTCATGCATATGTTCCCAGTAGGATACTTTTAGTGAGAAAACAAGGATTCGAATATGCAGAATGCCAAGGCAGATTTGTTCTCACAGCTACTGATAATGGGCTTTATAAATAAAAAGAAAGTTTAAGCTGTTCAGAAGAAAGCTAATGGGCTGGGGTGATGATACTGACCAGAATAAGAGAAATAAACATTGAATCAGGTAGAATGATCTTTAAAAATTTTTTGAAGGGCAAGTGAGGGGAGGGAATAGAGAAGAAAGAAATTGACAGGATCCCTACAAAGGGTTTGACAGCACATTAACAATAGCTTAGAGAAGGAAAACCTACTCTAGCTCCTGCATCCACCTCACCTAAGCTACCCTATCAGATCTGTTCCAATTATCCCAGCCTGGAGGAGTTTAAAGGTAGCAATGATGAAAAAAATAGGAAAATAAAGTGTGTTTAGCACAGGGTAATGATTTTAACTTGTCTATTAAGGTTGTGGGTAAGAGGATAAATAACGAGGGAAGGATGGGCACAGTGGCACATGTCTATAATCCCAGCACTTTGAGAGGCTGAGGCAGGAAGATTATTAGAGCTCAGGAGTTCACTACCAGCCTAGTGAGAACTCTTCTCTACAAAAAATAGAAAAAAGTTGTCAGGTGTGGTGGTGCGCATCTGTAGCCCCAGCTACTCGAGAGGCTAAGGTGGGATCACTTGAGCCTGAGAAGTCAAGGCTACAGTGATCCATGATGGCACCACTGCACTCTAGCCTGGGCAGCAGAATGAAACCCTGTCTAAAAAAAATAAAAAGAAAAAAATAAAAAAAGAAACTTGAGAGAGAAGAAATCTTCATATGACCCCTGGTTGGGAGGGTCCAAGGTCGTATGTTACAAGTTAATGTTGAGTGGCAGAGGATAGTGAAAACCCTTTTTGGAATTATCGGATGTACCATAATGATGGTGTAAAGTGTACCATAATAGCAGGGGAATAAAAAGACAATATTAAGGTATGAAAGGAAAGTTTAGAGCATATCAAAATATTACAGTAGATAGCACCAGAATCACTATGAAGCTACAGATAAAGAAATAAAAAACAAAAATGAAATTCCTGCCTTTACCTGTGTTGATGGAAAGCCAAACTCAGTAAAATATTTGAAGATATTTATTCTGAGCCACATGTCAGGACCATCACCTGTGACATACCCCCAGGAGGTCTGAGAACATATACCCAAAGTCGCTGGGTTACAACTTGATTTTATACATTTTAGGGAAACAAAAGACATCAATCAATACATGTCAGGTATATATTGGCTTGGTCCAGAAACGTGGGAAAATTTGAAGTTGTGGTGGGGAAGGACTTATAGGTCATAGGTAGATTCAAAGATTTTCTTATTGGTAATTGCTTGAAAGAGTTGAGTTATTATCTAAAGACCTGGAATCAACAGAAAGGAGTGTCTGCTTTAAGATAAGGGTTGTGGAGACCAAGGTTCTTATTATGTAGATGAAATCTCATATGTGGCCACCCTTAGAGGCAATAGATGGCAAATGTTTTCTATTTAGACATTTAAAAGGTGCTAGACTCTCAGCTAATCTCTTTAGGATCAGAAAAACACCTGGAAAGGGAAAGGGATTCTCTACAGAACGCAAATTTATCCATAAGAATCAACTTTGCAGGGCCATCTCCAAATATTTTGGGGTAAAATACTTTGATACTTCCAGGGCCTGCTATATCTGTTGTGTGATGCTATACTAGAGTAAGGTTGGAATTTGGTATCGTTCTGCTACAAACAGTCTGCTTTTTCAGTCTTAAGATCTCGGTTTTAATATTAATGCTGATTAGTTGTCCCTGAATTCCAAAGGATGAGGGTATAATGAGGGCTGTTTGACCCCCACTTCCCATCATGAGCTTAACTAGTTTTTCAGGTGTCTTTTTTTTCTTTTAACACTTGCAAATCAGGTAACTCCCACACCCCAATACGCCCTACCAAGCTCTTAGAAGCAAACGGCACAACCAGGAGATATATCCACACCTGCTGGAGGGTCCCCCACACCACGACCCCCCCATGCACAACAGCAGTCTCGACCTAACGCAAGCAAGACCACGAGGCTGGGAGGGGCGCCCGCCCAATTGCATGAGGCTTAAGTAGGTAAAACAACACAACTGAGAAGCTCGAACGGGGAGCCACAGCAGCCAAGACGCCCGCCTTCTCTGTAGCACTCCACTCTGGACAGGCACAAGCTAAACAACAACAACAACACAACAACAACAAACCAGCCAAAACTCTCAGAACAACATACCTCTGACAGCTTTGAAAAGAGAGCAAGTGGAATTCTCCAACACGGAGGAAACGAAGACGAGAACGACA